GAACTCACACCTTGCTGGATGTGTGAAAGAGCCTTTGCATCCTTCTTCCTATGCTCTTTAAGTGCCTTTAATTCTTGATTGGTGAGACCTTCTTCACTTTCTGGTTCTCTATAGCCATTCTCAACATATTCCCACAAATCTTGTGATCTAAAAATTGTTCTCATTTTTACGAACCAATGATCATAGTGCTCACCGGAGAATATGGGAATTGGAAGACCATCACTAGTATGATTGGCCATCTTGTAGTTAGAAATCTCTCAAAAATTTTCTGGTTTTGGGGTATGAACTAAGGCAATGAAACCTTAGCTCTGATACCAATCTGTTGGATATTAGGCCAAGAATTGAGAGGAATATTTGGAGACAAGGGTGGCTTCAATTGTTCTTTTTCTTTTATTTCTTTCACACTCTTATATTGGTTTGGAGTTTACAAGGTCTATTTATGATCATTCTAGATACATAGAGAAATGTTCCAACCATCCCACCAACTCTCTTAATTTCCATCATTCTAGAGAATATTGCAACTACCTCCTTGTCTCGAGGCTTTTCAACTAGCTTCCAAGTCTCATTTTTCTCAATTGCATAAATCTCATCTTCCATTGCCTTTCTCCAATCCTTTTCTGCATATGCTTCTTCAAAATTTTCTGGTTGAAGAATGCAAAAGTTGCATCTTGCATAAACATCACTTAAACTCCTCATTTTCATTGGAGTTGTGTTTGGAGAACTCCAACTCGAACTTGAATCTGGAGATGATGGTGGACTGCTTGTTGGTGTTGAATCATCACCATTTTCTTCTTCATTTGTTGAATTTTCTTCTTCTTTATGATGGCAAACACCCTGCTTCACAATCTTTTTCTCATCCCAATTCCAAGCAGCATTTTCATCAAATACAACATCTTGACCAATAATGATTTTGTTAGTCTTCAAATTAAACAATCCATAACCTTTAGACTTGGAGCTATAACCAACACATATTCTGAACCAGGCATGAATTAATTCCTTTGCTTTTAGAAGAGATGTGAAGATACGGGCGATTATATTTGATTATCGCACCTAAGGCGCAACCTATAATGAAACACCATAGAAGTGTAAATCCTCTTAATGAGAGGAAGACTACAAATCGGAGAAACCATGACACTAATAGAGAGAAAAATCCAAGTCTCATTCGTTGTAGATAGAAGAATGAAACAGCTAACTTGGAGGCCCGGAGAGGATTTGTTGCAAAATTGACTAATGAGCGGTTGCAAGATTACTCGTGAAAGAGCAAATATTAAACACTATTAAGTGAAAATGAGAAGAACAAATGCATACCACTGGCATACAATAATCAGAAGAACTTCAACCAAAGCACATCTAACTGAAAAGGAAAAACTTTGGTGAACTACCCAAGCCAGCTATCAAGCAACACAAAAACAAAGGGTTCCTAGGTTTTGAAGCTTCAAAAGATAAATAAGGAAAGAAATGAATAAGAAAAAGAGGTTGAAAGGATGAGAAAAGAGATTGGAGATTTGGAAAGCAAGAGGAAGGTATCGGTTGGGGTTGTATCCACCCTATATTAATTTGGAAGGGAACAACTCAGCAACTCGAATGTGCAAATGATATGACTCGACAACAAGACAACCAAACGATGAAAACCACCGCGAATCTCCTCCACTGTAATTCTACAGGTTGAATTAGGCCTCATCCATTACGTGGGTTTGCCTAGATTTTGCATGTGAAATATTTAGGAAAGGGTAGTTAGAATCGGTTAGATTGATTGAGGGAATGAGGAAGAAAAATTCTTACATACGGTTTTGTAGCTAGAAAGAATTCTATATACACATGTTCTGTGCTAATCAGTTGGACACAGTTCAACAAAATCAGCCGGTACTTGTTCTCTTCTTTCAGCAAAAGGAAAACGCCCTGGCATGACCTCCCCTGATTCTGCAATTTAGATGCAGTGCACTATTCACGCCATCATTGGTTCCTTTCTGCTGTTACTGAAGAATGAATATTTTGGAAATTTACTGGCTTTTAACTCAAAAAAAAAAAGCGTAAACAGGCCTAGCTAAATCACTTACATGTTGTACACAAATAGGAGAACACAAAGCTAAAACAAAGAATATAGTGTGTATTTCTATTTCAAGCATTCATGCAGCAAGTATAACAAAAACAATGCTTAAAATCAACTAAATCTCACTTGGCCTTCGTACATTTTCAACATTCCTACGTTCATTTTTTTAATGCCCTTAACTCTTTTCCTTATTCTCTTCCCAACCCCAAACTGATAGGCCAGGGGCTCGGACCCCTGACCGGTCAGTGCGGAAGAGCCTTAATGGCCCTCCCCCTGGCCACCAGCCCAAGATACAATAAACAGATAGATATTATGGGCTTGTGCCAGTATACCAGTATGCTGTTGATTTGAACATCAGTAATGAATCCTGCCCCTCGCAACCAGCCCAAGACAGAATAAACTGATAGATATCATGGACTTGTACCAGAATACCAGTATGCTGGAATCAAAGTTGATTTAAGCATCAGTAATGAATATTATGTGGTAGTCATGATAGTGAATGGGCTTGGATTCCACCAACTTGTCTCCCAGGTATATCTGCTCAATGGAATGACGTAAAGAATCGAATAAATCTCGACAAAGGGACTGAATTTACAATCTTCAATAGGAAAGAGCATGAGGAGCTTTGGGGTGAATGTTCTGATAATATAGAGGGGTATCAGTCTATCAAAGATGGTCACTTGATGGTTTTGTCAAAGATGAATCATGCTTCATAAGGTAGTATTCAAAGCCCAAAACTATAAGTGACATCGTATAGTGATGGCTACAAATAAGATGAATGCCAATGGTTTCATTAAGGTGTAATATTATCAGTTGAGCACATGATGGACCATATGAAAAACATAAACAGAAGATAAAGCACATGAACAGAGCACTAAATTCTCTTAGCTCTTTGACACAATGAGCATACAATTGGCCTATATAAGGGAGATTGGTGATTTCTCCCAACAAACGAGTGTTATTCTAGCACTGCTAGAATAGAAATTTTCAGGCCCGTCCTACTGCTACACCAGCTAAAAGGGTGAACCTACAGCAAATAACAAGTATACTTTGCTTCATCTAGAATCCCAGAAAACCAATATTGAAACCTCAAAGTAAACACTACGAACAAATATATAATTAACATTATAAGCAACTGAACTGCAAAATGCAGTTCGAGATGTCTAGGATAGTACTCAAGTATAAGGCCCGTCCCGCGGGGAACTAATGGGGGAAAAAATAAAAATATATATGTATATAATTATATAGATAATATATAATTTAATTAATTACAAACTTATGATAATGATATTATTAGTTATATGTATTATATAATCTATATTAGTATATGCAATATAATTGATATTATCAATTATACTAATGATTATATATGCGTACTAATACAAATTATTAATTGGTTATACTAAATTTACTAATACATTTATACTAAATCCCTAATTACACTTAATACAATAACATTTTTTTCTAAAAAAAAAAACCACAAGTACAATAATGAATTAGTAACTGTATTTGTGCCAAAAGTGATAACTTGACTACTTTAGTTGTATTTATTTCATCATGTTGGATTGTATTCAAATAACTTTTGTTTGATTATTTTTATAAGATTCAATTGTGAAATTATAATGAATAATAATTTGATGATGTGTTGATATTTTAGTACTTGATTATTTGCTAAAATTTAACTATAATAAAATTATGTAACAAATTTTTATTAGTTTCACGGGGACACTCGCAGGTAGGCATGGCCATGGTTCCACTTGGAACCGGGAACCGGACCGGAACCGAACCGTTTGGAACCGGATCAGAACCGGAACCAGAACCGTGGAACCAGAACCGTAGTAGAACCTTGGATAAAGGTTCCGGTTCTGGTTCTCTAAAAAATAGAACCAGAACCAGAACCGCCGGTTCCAGAACCGTTAAAAAATTTAAAAATAATTAATATAAAAAATAATAAAAGTAGAGGCATCATGATGACCAAGGTCATCATGATGCCACCACAATTTTTGCTCTCAATTTTTGCTCTCGGGGGCTCCTCCTGACTTGCACAAAGGTCCTCAGGCTCTCAACGGAAGAAAGAAACAAAGCAAAGGATAGAAAAAAAACAAGAAAGGTGGCTGCCTGCTAAATTTGACAAATTGGGGGTTAGGGTGAATTACAAGTTTACAACGTTACAATTCAACGTTGTAATTTTGTCCAAATTTTCAATACAACGTTACAAATTTGGAACGTTACAATACAACGTTCCAAATTTTTAATTTCATTTTGTCCTATAAATAAGACTTGAAATTTTATTTTCTACTACACCAAAATCAATCTTCTCTCTTCCATCTCTAAACTACTCTCAATTTCTTCATCTATTATCTATTTATTATTTCGTACTTTGTAGAATAATAATAAAATTAAAATATGATATTTATTTTGTATTTATTTTTTTACATTTTATTTAAAATTTTAAATATATTGTTATATTCGTATTAAAATTGGTAAGGATAAGAAATTAAATAAAATTGTATATAACCATACGGAACCGGAACCGGAACCAGAACCAGAACCGGAACCATAAGGAATCGAAATCAGAACTATGCGGTTCTGGTTCTACCTTTTTGAAGAACCAGAACCGCCGGTTCTGGAACCAGAACCAGAACCATCTTATATGGTGCGGTTCTGGTTCTACCTCTTTGAAGAACCAGAACCGGCGGTTCTGGAACCAGAACCGTTGGTTCTGGAACCGTGGCCATGCCTACTCGCAGGGGAAGCAGGGAGGGGGTATCCTAGAACTGTTTTAACAGGCCGGGAACAAATTAGATATAAAATTAAAATTTGAGGATTAAATTAGCCAAAATAAAAGCTGAGGGATGAAATTGGCTCCAGCCAAAAAGTCAAAGGACTCGATTGGTCGTTTTCCAATAAAGAGAATAAAGAAGATTGTCTTGAGGAGATACTCAAAGACAAACCTAATACAGGTACAAAAGCTAATCAAACACTACGCCTCAACAATGGTCCACCTCTGCCTCACTAAATCCATGAACAGTGGGATCGCATTCTGTTTTTCGAATATTATTCTTGTTATCAACAATACTCGTGAGCATATCATCCTTAAGAAGGGGAGAAGGGAGTATTGCAAGGAAAAAGAGAGCTGGGTGGACTATCCCATTGAGAAAGGGGAAAGAATTGGGCCAGGTGAGCATGCCTGCTGCTGTGCGTCGAAATTTGGGAAGGAATGGAGGCGTACACAGAAGTTGATGCGAAAGTATTCGGAAATGAGGGTTTCCCTTGAGGGTGAAGATGACAGGAAAGCGAAGGTGCTATCACTTCCTGAAGTTATGAACAACATAGCCTTCGTCTTCAACATGGGAGACAACAGTCAGTTGGTAATGGAAACTGTATCAAGGGAAGAAGCGAAAAGCAGAAAAATCGAGCCTTCTCTTTGGAAGAAGCTTGAGGAGATGAAAGTGCAGTGTATATCAGTCGTGGTAATTTAACTTTTCCTCCTCTCTAGCTTCCTGTCTGGTGCTTGTGTGTTCGTGGATTCTGCCTGTACTGAATTGCTCTATTTGTCCTTTTCCTTTTCACATTTACCTTAAGCATTGGGTGATTTTCTTTCTGGCATACTATTTATCAGTGCAATCAGGGATTTGGTTTCATGTCTGTGAGGTGAAATATCTATCTGTTTTATTCGCTATAAGCTATCAGTACAATAGGCAGATTTCTTAATTGCCTTTGCCATAAGTGCCATCAAGTATCACATCCTTAGACTAACATATCTATCAATCCAAATGTGGCTTTAGTATGTTGTACCATTTTGTGCGCTTTAGTTGCTTTTGGCTCAACTGTTAGGGCCGTAGATTGTGGACTAAAGGACTTTTTTGCATTCTCACTTGGTTTAGATGTTGAGAGGCAGCTCAAACCCAGAATTAATTCAGACAAAATGTCAAATTAAACTGAGAAATCAGATTGTGAGCCCAAAGATATTTATTGATTCAACTCTACAATTGAGAACAGAGGAAATGGAAAAACAGGTAGGGGGCCATAGAAAGGAAGAAATCTCTTTGGAAGAGTTCCCCAAAATTACAGAAAGATTATCCAAAAAACTGAAAGAATCATTGATGTAGCTCAAGTCCAACGAATGCACCCCACCCAAAACCGCCGCGTCCTGCTTAAAATTCTGATTTAACAATCTTAATTACCTTTCAAATTTCTGTTAGTTCTTTCTCACATGAGGACGCCCGTTCTTCATGCCTCCTCCAATTTTAATCTCAACTGCTTGAAGTCTATCTATATTGAGAACTGTACTTAGCCAAGCACTCCACTCCTAGCACCATATCACTTCTCCCCAATTTCAAGGTTCTGACCTCATGCTGAACCTCATAATCACACATTTTCCAAATCACAGGGCTGCATACTCCAGTAGAGACTGACTTCCTTTTTTGCAACTGGGGCAGGCAGTGGGTTGGTACTCCCTTCCTTCCATTTGATTTCCCTGACTGTACCACCATCCATTAAGCTATAAGTACTCCCATTTTTTTTTAAATACACAATTGCTTCCCTTTTTAACTTTAAACCCCCAGCTAGAGCATGAACTCAAAGTTCCTATTAGAGTATCTTTGTCATCCCCTTCACTCAGTTATAGGATCCATCACTCACTTCCCTCCTCCCTTTTGCTTCTGCACTCACAGGATCCTCCCCTCTTTCTGAGTATATGGGGTTCAGCTTGGCATTCTTACGCACATGCCCAAACTGAAGGGTTCATCGCATGTGAAACAGAGCCCCTTCTCTCTTTTCTCCTGGAAATCCGTAGGTGTAGTTCTTCTGAAGTTTTTGGGAATTTTGGTCGTGTTTTTGCTCTTGTTCTGTTTGGGTTTATAACATCCTGTGAATTGTGACTGCAGTTTGGAACCGGATTCAGGCTTTTTTCAGCACAGTATTCTTAGAATTGGTTGATGGCCATTTATTAGAGAAGTGTGAGAGTCTCATGGGAGGAACCTGAGTTCAGTGATCTATTCAGTTTATTAATGGCATTCGTAGTTTTCTCTTGCAGCAAATAATCTTCCATGGTATATTGGTATAACCGGTTTAACCATACTTTTGATCTCTTCTTTTAAACAACTCATAAACAGAGGAACATAGTAGGGTTCTCGCATGGGGATAGGGAAGGCATGACTAAAGCTTCCAGAATTTCAAACCTATCTTGGTAATCCCCATTATTTTTGGGCCTTCTCCCCCAGTCACATGCAAATCTGTGTAGAGAATTCTGCTCATTTTATCTCCTGCTGCAGGACCAAACATCTGCTCTCTTTTCTTCAAGTATATCCTAGCAATAACAGTCTTCTGCTCTGGTGGAATTCAATGGATCTCAAAGTATTTGTTAGCCTTTCTTGCCCATTCTCATTGTCCCTTTCCATCGAAATGGGGAAAACTTGATCTTAGGCAACCTTCCCCCTATCTGCCCATCGTTTCTGAAAGATTTGTTCCCAGATGGATAATTTCTGTTGCTTCCAGAGTCTCTTCATTGTATAAAACATGATTAAATGGCTCCATCTGCAAGAAACTTGAATCCTATTTGATTCAGCATAAGAACCAGATTCAAGGTCTTAACTGCCTTGGCCATAGCTGCCACCAAGTGATCTTACATTGCATCTAATTCCTCTTCAAGTTTTTCCATTAAATTCTTGTCTATTCGCCACACGTCTAAGACTCTCAAGCTCATCTTGCTTACTAGGAATTCCCTTTACTTTACCACCCAAATCTCATCAATTTTTGCCAATCGCTGTGAAATTTTCTTCTGGGACATTACTCAAGCAATGTGCTTCATTTTTGGGTTGACATATCTATCAATGCAAACATGGATTTAGTATATTGTGCCATGGTGTGCTGGCAGTTGCTGTTAGCTCATGCTGTCAAGCGCTCTGTCGTGGACCACACAACTATTGGAACTTTTTTGGCACTGCTTAGATATCTTATTAACAAGCTTGGATTTAAAGCCTTGTATGACATCTTGCTAATTTTCTCCTGTATACTGCCAGAATTAAATGAAATCCGAAAGATTTTTGTTAGATTTCTATGGCATAATGGCCTCATTTAGTTTCGTATTTATCATCTATTGTACTATGCATTAATCTTTTTGGAGGCATTACGCAATTGATTTCTGGATTTTAATGCACCTGCAGGTCTATTTTTCAGGATATTTCTTGGTTAATATAGGGTGTTAATGGAATTGTGGTTAAGTTTCCCCTTTGCTTGTGATGCTGCTCATCTTTCCGTCAATACCATGACATCCTTTGATACACAGAATCCGAAATTTATAACATGTCTAGTTAATCGTCTGCTATTGAATTTTGCTTTTTGGATAAGTATCTAACAGATTAACATGCTCATTAAATATTTTCTTTTCATTTTTACTAGAACAAGCGGAAAACTGCTTGCAAGGAAGGGGCACGCGAAGAACTCGGCACAGCCCATGTTTGATTGCAGTAGTCAGCCCCATGTTTGATTGCAATTCTACCTTGTAAGCAGCCCGTAAAGTTCTGACTGATAAAAATCGAACTAAAAGTGCACATGAACCCTGACTTTTTGTGATTAAATTTTTTTTATGGTATCCAGACAATAATCTTGTGACTTGCTACTTGGTGTAGGATTTTGAGTTGATCAAGATTTTTTGTTTGATATGTTAATTGTATGGGCGTTTAGAGATTCAACTCATCTTCTGTTACATTCATCCTAGTGCCTTGAGCAATTTATCAGAAGTTGCAGCTGCAAATTGATTAAGATACGCTTTTGAAAACAAGGAATGCCCCCAGGAGGCCGGAGGGCACTAAACTTGCGGTTTCAGTTTTCCGACTCGACATAGTTTTGTTTCTGTTGGCCAATTTGACTGCCAAGAAAGCATTATCTCTATCTCTTTTGTCTGTTCCTCTCGGAAACGGACAGAATCCTTGCAAGCAAAGTCAAAAAGACATTGTTAAAGCTTAATAACATTTTCAACAGGAATGGCACCTATATGTGTTATAAGGGGACGCATCAGATACCTGATGATAGTTTTCGTTTTGCACAAAATATATATTGTGTTCCTGCAAATTGACATTTTTAAAGCTTAATAACATTTTCAACAAGAATGGCACCTGGATGTGTTATGAAGGGGCGTACCAAATACCTGATGATAGTTTTCGTTTTGCACGAGATATATACTGTAGCATCCCATATTGGAAGAGGAAGAGAAAAGGAAATGGTTTAAGAACTTAGACTCATGGGCTTCTTTGTAATTTGTATTAATTCTTTTGGATCAGTGGATTTTGGTTCAAAAATTACTTGGGCCAGCTCGTAGAGTTAGGTCATGATGGTATTAGAGTGAATTTCATGTAGTCTCTATGCGAGATATATATGGTTCTGACTATATAAGGAAGTGCAAGTAGTTAAGTGCTGTGAGGGAGACTTTAAAGCCCATACGAGTCATCTTTAGAGTTCGAACATGATCAAATGGACAGTTTTGGATTCTGACGGTCCTTGCAAGGATGCAAAGTTCTAAAGGTGGGGTGAATGTTGCATCCCATGTCAGAAGAGGAAGAGGAAAGGAAATGATTTAACAACTTGGGCATCCAAAAATTACTTGGATCATCCCTTGGACCCGGATAAGCACATATGTTGTGATGCTGAAAAAGTTTTTTTTTTTTTTTGGGTGGGGGCCTGGGTGGGGGGATCTTGAGGCCTTGGACTTAAGACACTACGTAGAATATAGAGTTGGAATGGTATCCTTTGAGTGATGATATGTGGTTTGATATCTGAAGTGGCCATGCCAAGTTAGTACCTCAATGGAAATCTGTGGCATCATTTATAAGTAATTCAGATTAAATTGAAGCCCCTGCAGTAGAAACTGAATGTTTCAAATTTCCTGTCAAGTCTGCAACATTTGTATCGCGGAGGATGGTAAATCTTTTTAGCTTTGCAAAATGTGTTTTCTTTATCGGTAATAATCAGATGACATAGATAATGAATAATAAGACGAGTTTAAGAGTCAATTACAGTAATTTTAGGGAAGCTAGTCCCTTTACAATCAGTAGCAGAGCTAGAAAAAATTTTTAGTGGGGACAAAAGTAATATTAAAATTTTTACCTACTCCTTTTCTAGTTTTTGAAGCAAAAAAATATTCACCAATAAGTTGAAATGAAAAGTCTTTTTTAACTCATTTCAAATGAAACTCTGTAACCCATATATCTCTTTAGAATATTAATTCATGAACCAACTTAGAAGACTACGTAATTTTTTCACTTCTTTCATCGTGTGGTCATGGAAGCTCCTCAGTGACCGTTGTCCATTTCTCCCACCAGGGATCGAGTTCCAGGGTTAATGTGTTCGAGGGGAAGGGTCTCTCCTTTCGGGTCGGGGGATTAGTCGGGTTCGGTTTATCCAGTGACCTAGATATCCCTCCGTTTGGCCAAAAAAAAAAAAAAAAACTTTGGAGGCACGTTTGAAATTATATCAAAATTTAAGAATACTATAGGAATCTAAGGGCCCAGTGCCTCCACCTTAATTCCGCCGCTGTTTACAATCATCACTAAAAAAGATCCAGATTGGGGAGAACAGTAGTTAAAAAGTGAAAACACGGACAAAAGGTATCCATCCATCTTTGCGAGCTCGTCCGCACATCAGTTTGCCTCTCTGTATATATGTTTGATGGTGCATTCACTGAACTGTGAGATTAGCATCCTGCAATGAAAAATGAGAGGAGCAAGAAAGTATCAAAGAGCAGTTGTTTAACATTGAAATGGCAGTGGATGAATCAGATTCAACATGGAGGTTAGTAATATGATGATCAGTCCAATCTGGAGTCCATCAGGAATACTCCTTAACTCAGCCACAATATTGGTTCAGAAGCCCAAGTTTCGACCACAACCACAATCCATCATCCAGTGCAATCATGAATTAAGCTTTCTGCTTCCGCTTTCTGTGGATTACCTATGGATGAACTATCACAATCACTTTAAAGAAATTAGGAGGAGGGATGGATCTATCTTATGTAGGTAATCTATCTTTTGAGACTAGATTGACATAGGCGAGGACTAAGGCTGCAGAAATCAGCTGTTAATTGAGTGCAAGAAAAGACTAATTTGTTGTTCCATTTCCCTTGGTTCAAAGACAGCTGCATTTCTATTTTTCGCTGAGAGCGAATAAGCGAAAAGGAAGAAGGTACCCCAAGGTATGTTAAGAATTGTGATGGATGCAAGAATTTCGAACACTTATGAAACCAACTCCTAAAAGGAAGTTGTGAAAAGTCAGATTGGTAAAAGGGATTAGAAAAAGAAGAACAAAAAGCTGTGGCACAAGGACAGTATCTGAGAATGTGTTCCACAGATTCCCCCATGTTTGATTACAGTAGTGAGCCCCATGTTTGATTGCATTTCAGAGTGTCAAATCCACCCAAGGTCAAAATGTGGGAAGGCAGCAAAGCTCATAAGCTTCCTTTGAACAGAGCAGTCCACTGCTACTATCTCCCCAGCACAAGTGTCATGCAGCTTAATATCATGACTATGAGGGATCGCAAGGATGCTACAAGACAACTGGTTAGGCAGGTCATAAGAGATTTTTCCCCACTTCCACCCTCTCCCACTACTGATCAAGTCATTCATCAGAAGCTCCTCTTCCCCAAGGTTGAATGGTCCTCGACGATAATCTCTCATGGCTCCAGAAGGTAGCCATTTATCAGTCCAAAATCTGCAGAATGGCCATCATGAATGGCTTGTCTCATACCTTTGTTTAAAAGGTCCAATCCTTTCTCGAGGCCAGACAAATTAGATCCTGCTTTAGGGTGTGGGGTGAGACATCTATTTTCTTAGGTTTTTGAAGCATCAATACCTTTGTTTTTTAAGGCACTAACCCAAGGTTTGTTACGATTAGAAGCTACCTTGCAACAAAATTTAACCATCACAACTTGAGATCAGACTGTTTTAATCCTAAACCATCCCCTCCCCTGAGATTTGGCTTTAGTAACAGCGTTCCAACCTACCAAATATGACTTTCTATTTTCAAGAGTTGATCCCCACAAGATATTCCTCTGTTCCCTGTCTATGAACTCACAAAGAGACTTGGGCAGAGAGGTACATTATGCATAAAAAGAGGCAATGGAAGAAATGGATTGTTGAATGATGCTTATTCATCCTGTCATAGAGAGTAAATTGGCTTTCCAGCCACTAAGTTTCCATCGAACTTCGTTAGACGGTTAGTTTTGCATTTAATTTGTGAATATTTTCTCATTTATTTTGCCAAAAAATAGTGTTAATTGCTAGATTATACTTATACTAGGTATTCTGCCCTGATGCTATGCGTCAGGTAGGTAACAAAGAATTATTTAACCGACAGGAAGAGCAAGCAGGGAAAAGTTAGGCCGTGACGGTAGGTTGCATTGGTGTTAGCCAGGCGTTGCTTACATGAAATTGTTGACTGGCAAAATGTTCCCATCCAAGAAGGCCACACGGACATCCATGCTTGTTGTCCACAAAAGAGAACAATAAGTCAACAAAAATTAGGGTAAAAAAACAACAAAATTACAAAGCAACCAAGCAAATATAACATACATGTTGAATGAAGGGGAAAATAAATGGCATGATTGGAAAATATGGCAAACACCTAAGGGTAAACTAATACTCATAAATAGCTAAGGCAGCCCATCTCTTCGGATCACAATGGGCAACAATGACTCAAACAAAAGAGAAACAAAGAACAAATAAATTATAAAGGAACTACAATACTATAGCATGCATCTTCCGGTGTCCTGAGTTACCGAAAAATGAAGTAGTGTCATGAGTAAGGGAGAAACAGCAAATGGCATTACCGAAAAACGAAGCAGTGTCCTGAGTAAGGGAGAAACAGCAAATGGCATTATCGAAAAATGAAGCATCACTAAGGCTAATGCTAATCACATGAAGAGGCCCACGCGGACAACCGGAATACCGCGTGAAATTCCAGCAAAACCACTACCACCCATCAGCAAAAGACCAACACGCCCCTCAAACTCACAAAAACAACGGCATAACCGACTCATTCTGCATTGTTCATAAGCGATTCATGTTTTATATATGTAAGATTTGATTTTTTGTATTGTTTCTAGGAATTTATGGTGAAAAAAGAGAATAAAAGTGCATTAAAAACTGAATCCCCAGAAGACGTTACTTTACAAGGCATGATCACTTCTTATTTTGTTGTGAAGTTTTGAGTCCGCCGAACACAAGACGAATTTGTTACTTGATTAGGAAGTCAGCTACGCCTCTTGATTGTCTACATTAGTCACGAAATTGGAGATCCTAATTGGATATGATGTAATGTAATTTATTTAGGAAACCAATTGATATATTTTGTTGGTTAGTTGATTTTAATTTTTAAGTAGGCGTCTAGAAAGGAAAAGTAATATTTTCCTCATTAGCACGGGAAAAACGTACAATAAACGGAGGAACGAACCATTCTTTAGGCTTCCGTTCGTCCAACAACTCTTTTCTTGATTCCTTTTTTTCTTTTTCTCTTTTAACAATAAACCCTACTTTTTCTTTTCGTTGTGAATTCAACATTAGGAATGCTAGTTTCTTGTTTTAGTCGAAGAATAATCAAATATTTAGTTCATCGAATACTGTGAGATCTAATATGTTTTATTTTTTTCATATATTTATAAATATTTATATATTCTCTGTTCGTTATTGAGATGATTGTTTTGCTCGAATTAAATAAGGGGCCCTTATTTCGTTTGACAAAATAATCTATCACCATCTAAAATACTAAATCCGTAATTATTTGATGGTTTTAGTATTTGTGGCAAGTGATATAATTTGATTGTATTAGAAACTTTCAAATTTATATTACAAGAATAAATAATCTAGCCTAAATGAATCGAATTTATGTGTTAGTTGATTATAATTTGTAGCTTTTCTAATTATTAATGTTGTCAATAGGTTAAATTCTAAGAATTTGTTTAGAGTTGTTTATTTGTTGTGATTAGCGAAACAGAA